GGCAATGAGATGCATCACCCCCAATTTTAGTTATTATAGTTGAAAGAGATTTAGCAAGCAGGAAAGTGATGTCACCCCACACTGTAGGAAGGGTGTTGGAATCCAGTTACATTTTTCTTGCTGTTGTTTGACAGCCTGCTTTTCTTATGTTAAGGGAAGAAGGTGGGCAGTCCAGTTCTTTGTTTCAGGCTATTGAAACTGTAACATGGATGCTTCAACTAGAGCAGCAACTGCTAGAGCTGCAAGCAATCAGCTTTCTGATCTGGTTTTGGAATACACAGTCTAATAAATTATTCAAGTTATTAGCCATCTTTTATTAACAAGGATATTCTCTATCAAATACATAGAGCTTTTTAGAGATTCTGCTCATCATCTGACTGTCATTATGCCCTTTATTTTAAAGGAAAGAATGAGGATATTCACCGTGTAGTTAGTGAGGCATCATCCCTTGCATGAATTACTTCAGGAGCCTGTTCCTCAAGAACACACATTCCCCAAGAAGTCAAGAAAGTTTCCAGGCTTATGGAAATGACTCACTGATGGACTTATGTCACTGAGAAAAAGAGCTGTGTGATGTTTCTTCATCACCAGTAGACTTTTTTTTGACTCTTCCTGAAATAAAATGTTTTAAGACTTTTAGCAAAGATGGAGCGAATACATGATCACTGTCGTGGTTTGAGCTCAGAGGGCACCTGAGCACCATGCAGCTGCTCACTTCCCCCTTCCCACTCAATGCTGAGAAGGGGAAAAAAAAAACAAGAGGGTCAGGAATCAAGATAAGGACAGGAAGGGATGATCTATCCATTATGGTCATGGTCAAAACACAAACTCGTTAGGGGAAGGAAAAAAGAATATAAATTTAATACACTAACAACAACAACAACTTAATAGAGTAGGACTGTGAGAAGCTTTAACACATCTTGAAAACAGCTTCCCCTAACTCCTTCCTCACCTTTGCTCCCGGTATCTCTACCTCCTCCTCCCCAGGGGTGCAGGGGGTGGGGAATGGAAAGTGCGGTCAGTCCTGCCGCTTCTTCCATGTCAAGGTGGGTAATTTCTGGCATTCTTCCACTGTTACAGCACGGTCCCCCTCTCACAGGAGACAGTGCTCCACAAACCAGCTCTAACAGGAATCGGTCCCATGGGTGTGCGGGTCACCCCTGCATGTTGCAATCTTCTCAGAGCCAAACTACAACAGCGGGAGGGTTCTTCCTACAGGGTCCTGGCCTCCTTCAGGCACAGTCACCTGGGTTGGTGTGGGGCCCCCTTGCCGCAAATCAGCATCTGCTCCACCAGTGACCTCCATGGGTGGCAGGGGGACAGCCTGCCTTCTCACCAGGGGCTGCAGGGAGTCTCTGTTCTGGTGCACCTCATCCCTTTCCTCCTTCATTCTTCCACTGACCTCAGTGTTTGCAGAGGTGTTCTCTTCGCAATGTCTCCTCACAACTCCAACTCCTCCCAGGTTCCCCTTCTTATATATGTTATCACAGAGGCGCAGCCACCATTGCTAACTGTTCCAGCTTTGGCCAGAGATGGGTCCAACTTGAAGGCAGGACAGCTTTCAGAAGCTTCTCACAGGGGGGCACCACTGTAGTCCCCTGTGCTGCTACCAAAAACGCCCACCATTCACTCAAACCCAGAACATTAACCAATACAGGCAGGAGGAAAGACAAACTCCACGGCATGCAGGAGAATGAACAAATATTTTGGTGAATCCTCTAAAAAATTATTGAACTGGCTCATGATTAATCTTTTTATAATTCTGATAAAAACGTAAAAATAAGAGGTTGTGCCAGAGATACTTTTGAATGAGGGTATACTAGAATGCATTACTTTAATTTTGCAAAACTAATACATTCATAGTTTGAAACAAATAATAACATGTAATTACAAAGGATAATATTTTTACTAGTAATTCCTTCAGAAATATATGTAATGCACAGATGACATGTAATTCTGTATCTTTCTGATCCTGAGGGAACTGACATGCAACAGCAGCCATGATTTAAGAGCAAATTTATCTGTACAGAAAGTGTGTCTTTTCTTTCAAGAAATCACTATTCAGTATGTCCATGTATACATAGTATTCATTCCCAGTGCAAAGAAACACAACTATTTTAACCTTGGACCTGTTTTTAAGTGTTGTTATAAATTAACAAGTTGTATAAAATGTCTGAATACTAAATGTTTCTACAAGGGAAAAATAATGCTTTAGAATACTTTGCCATGCAATGTGCGATACCCAAATTACATAGCAGTGAGCATGTAAATGCAAAACTCAAGGTAAACAATAGGAAAATAGTTTAATTTGCCATCTTAATGGGGACAAAATGTCATCAATTACATGTAGTAAACAGCAACACCATAATTTTTCACTGCCATAGTTTAAAACACTATTTTAGAGTATTATTAGTGTTAATCCAGGAATTATAAGTATTTAGTATCACCAAAATGTCAAGCCATTGTTTACATTCCTGTTTTTAAAACTGTGGAGGCATTTCTGCCTTAAAATTCTATTTATATTCCAGTCTTGAACATTTCTTCTAGGATGTAACTTGACTGGCAAGTTAAACTCAGAAACAATTACATTACTAATCATGTGTGGAAAAAAACAATGTAAAAAATCTGTTTGTTGGTGTTATATCCCTTTCCATACTAATGAAGAATTAAATTACTTCAAATGTGGTTTTCACTTTTATTTCCTTAACATATATGCAAAATATATTTCATTATTCTTTCTCTTTATAACATAATTATCTTTTACAAATTAAATTATATGGTACAAATTGTCATCTAGTTGTTTTTATACATTCATGCATCTTCATCCCATTCCTCTTTAAGTAAATGACAGTGTTTTCTTCAACATGTTTGGTTGGTTGGTTTTTTTGTTTTTTTTTTTTTTTAGGAATGCCCTCATATTAAGCCTAGAGCATGCTTAGTATTTTTGAGGATTAGTAATTTTGTCAGAAAAGTGACATTCTTCAGCCCTTTGGCAGGTAGAAATGACAATTTACTCAGATTTATTAATATATATTCTCATGTCTTTCAATATTAAAATTGCGAAACAAATTTCCTATCTTTAAAAGTTCAAACTCCCAGATAATATTTTTTTAACTTTTGTTAAAGTTCTAGTTCTGAACACTCATCCACATCTCACAAACTTTACTTCTGTAACTATACCCACTGATCTTTAAGACTTGACTGTCCTAAATCACTTCTTTGGAGACAAGAAGACCTTTTCCTGGCTTGTCCTTTTTTCTTTCTTGCAAATTTAGCTGCAAGATAAATTTTCCCTCCTATGAAGGTTCCTCAAACTATGCAAAAATAAATAGTAGATTTGCAAGTGTGTGTGTGGATTTGTATCTTAAACAGCATGTGCAGGCACACTATACATATATATATATATGTATATACACACAGTATGCAAAAGTTTTCTAACATGCATCCACTTTTAATGACATTTTAGAACACAGATTTTTAAATTTATTTTTCTTTTCTTTCTAGTCCATTAAAAATTCTTTCCATGATGGTTGTCCTCAATAGAGTGTAAAACCTTTTTTTTGCTAACCATTTCTTGCAGGAGTTCAGAGGTGACAGGTAGTTCCTTTAACAGAACAAGGATCTTTTCTTTGCCTCATTAATGCTTCTTCAAGTTAATATTCACATCTAGTGGGTGTGTGTAAATTTTTGACAAAGAGTTCAGTTGTGGTTATTCTTTTACTTCCTCAGGATAAGCAGAATGACTGGAAAAGGAAAAAACCTTCAAGCTGTCATAGAAACATATTCCATGACAAAAGTTCTGACTTCCTGTTTAACACGAGGGTTAATTCTATTAAAGAATTAATACTTTAATGCAGGATTCGAGACTACAAATCAGATACAAAATTTTGCATTTGCTTGTTTTCAGTGCAAATTCTGTTCTTCTTCAGAAGTGTCTCCTGGTGATGCGTTCTGCTGTAGTTGTTCTAGGTATAGGACATAGGAATCATGAATCATTTCCAGGATACATCACTTGCTTGAAAGCATTAGTTGCCTTTAAAATCCATCCAGAGTCTCATTTTCCTTCATGGCAGAGCAGTATGTGCCAAGTTGCCTGCCCTTAACCAGAGCTGCCAGTTTGGGCTAAACGGCCATTTGTGGGGAATGGTTAAACTGCAACACCTTTTTTCATTTCCTTGCCTAGTCCTTTCCTGCAAAATAGCAAGTAATGTTACTCATTTTTTAGGCTTTTCATTGAAACAGTCGGTCCATCCTAGCTTTCTTACCACTTTTAGTTTTTCAGTCCTCGCTCTATCAAACTGATTGGCGTACAGCGAGTTTCCCTCCCAGCATAATTGTATGAAGTGAACATCATGATCTGCAGCCTTCCTGCTGTGTGACAAGCACAGAAATGACAACAGTTCCTGTCCAAGAAGCTGATGAAAATAGAAGACTCCTGCAACATTGCAGTCTGAATTTACTCTGATTTACTTGATCACTAGGATGCTTTAATTCAAGTGTTTAACAAAAACCTATCACAACAGCATTCATAGAATCAGACATCTGTGGTTCCATTCTTTGCATGCTCCATCTGATACTTCTTTTTGTTCTTTTTCCCATTCATGCAGTCACCTAATTCTGGCAACAAGGATGACCAAACACTGACGGTAGGCAGCAATTAATATGTGTCTAAGCATTTATTTCTCAGGAGGATGGTGAGACAAATCTTACTTTGATTTGCAGAGGTCAGCATTTTTCAAAATTACTAGGATTTCTTTCCCCTCCTATGCTGCTAGTAGAATTTAAATAATTTCTTTCCAAAGATAAAGCAGTGAATTAATTTTTGTGTTCAGTTTCTATAATTTTTCATTTAGTATTTGTATAACACCAAAGATTAATCCATGTACCATGTATTATTGCAAAATACTATTTTCTTCAAGGTTGCTTTTTTTCCTATAATTGGATTTCAGGGTCTTATTAGTCAGCAGCCTGTTGGGTCTGATTATCCTTTTTATTGAAACAAGCAGACAGCTATCCACAAAGCAGGTTTACTCTATGGGATACATTAAATTCATTGATTATTGTACTAGACAATGGCATGGGGAAAAGAACCTGAGAATATGTTTTAAATTTCTTTAAAAGCAGGTAAAAGATTCTTGTATCTTAGCTCCATTGCTCTAGGTGTCTGCACAGCCTTTCCACACTCACAGTCTGGTGTTGCAACCAGTAGTTAATGGATTGAACCAAAGCAAGGTGTATGTTTCACTCTGACTGAGCTTTAGGATTTTGCCATTGAAATAGGGTACTATCTGCCCTTTTTCTCTATAATTTTGGTATTATGCATATTTGCAATGTACAAAACAATAAAAATTAGAATTTACTTCAGGGATTCAATCACAAGGTTCTAAAAAGAAATAAATGATGAATTCTTCATGATACAAGTATGACATTTTTATTTTTGTAACACTTCAAGAGTTTTCACAGGGTATTCTTTTTCCCTGCTTTTTCCCTGTGAGACTAATGACTAATCTGATGATCCATCCCCTCCAGAGAAATTGTCTATGCATATGTCAATGTTTAATACAGTGTATAGTTTAATATAATCTCCCATAGGTGATGGTTGAAAATGTTCCACTGTAGTGAGATGTGAAATTAACTCATAGTGTTTCAGACCTGTTTCCACAGAAAAACCAAAAAACCCTAATTCTTTCCCTTATACTTTCATCTAGACGAAGCCACGGCTCCAGCGGGGAGGAAGCTCTGCATCTCTTCACAACAGTCTAATGAGGAACAGCATCTTCCAGCTCATGATTCACACACTCGACCCACTTGCTGAAGGTATTCCTATTATTTTTTTTGTTTTTCTGCTGCAAAATCAAACAAATAATTCCCTTCTCCCTATGAAAATGTTTTTCGAATTTCTGTTGCTTTCATCAGTCTTTTCTGGATGTGTCTGAATTTTCTGAGTTTTGCACTCTTATGGCATGGTATACATACTTCCACCAAGACTTGCAACTTAGGAAATGTGTTCATTGCAGTGCTAACTAAAACTGATTTTTTTTTTTTCCTCTGAGAAGTTAGCAGGAAGACCATGATTGCTTTGCAATGGTGGGATGATTTGAGTCTCAGTTTCTGTTAGACTTTAAAAAAAAAATTAAAGGCCGGGTGCTTTTCTGGTGAATCTCTGTCTGTAGGACTTTTCTTGCTGTAGTAATAAATGTCTTGAGAAATAACACTTGTGAAGGAATTGTGAGAGACTAAAAAGAGACTAACTAAAATACTACTGACAGAACTTTCAAACTTTGGTGATCAAAAAGTATACCTAGTACTTCCTTGCAAATATTTAAGTTTGTTTATTTTTCTCATTGCAAAATTGTGTACAACTTTTTTAGTTGCACTGTATTTCTTGGACAAGGCAAATCTACTTTTCCATTTCCTTCTTCAAAAGCTGAAGCTGACACTCATTTTGTCAACACAAGGGCAATTTTACCCCTTGCAATCTCCATGCCATTGTTTCTACTCTGATCGTGACTCACATTGCCTCTCTCTTTTGTTAATGCTGCAATATTCACTGCCAAAGTCTGTTGCCTTTTAGAGTGGAGTCTTCAACAGACTGCACCCAATCTATTTCCATTTAATAGAGGAAAAGAACATCAGAAATTAATTGCAGTTATATGTTTGGCTTCGTCAGCAGGTGAGAAGGATTTTTAAGTGCTGCACCCAGTAAATGTCATCTTTACCCACCTGGTAGACAAGTTTTTCACTCTGCTAGACGGAAAGAGTTCCAGTCTCAATTTTTCACTTCTAATGAAAGATTATAATTTTTCAATTACAATCCTTTGCACTCCTCTTTTTCCCTAAAGCAAAGTTTATGGACTATGGATGCATCTGTGGTGTCTCAAACAGTACTAACACAAACAAAAATAACAATCATCTGAAGCAATAAATAGATTTAATCAAATAGTTTTTAAAAATAAGAACAGAAGCAGGTTGGGAAGAGTTCATTAGCAGGGACAGAACCTTTATGACAGATTGAAGACCATGAGAAAGCTAGAAGTGTTGACTGGAGTTCAATTCCAATTTAACAAAGATTCAGAAATAAGATCAGCTCTCAGATATTTTTCCATTGCTCGAGTTTATTTCACTTGTTTCCTAGACCTATTTTGTTCAGCATTCAGACTTTTTGTCACTACTTTTCCCCGATAGCAAGCTTGCACTATGTAGTGTGATCCAGAGGCTTTCCACTTCATAACAGTGCAGGAAAAAAAGGGTTTTGAAATCTGAAATCCATCTTGGGAAATGTAGAAGCCCAGCACATTTGAAAATTAGGTATTATAATTAAATTTATCAGGTAACTCAGTGATGCTCTTCATTATGTCAGTAAAACACCTGAGATCAATGTAGATTGATGGAGATGGTTCTGATGGATAAATTTTATTTAAATTACTCCAGTAAAATATTTTCAAGGTTTCTTTGCTTATAATACATTACTGTTTGTTTGGTTTTTTCCCTCTCCAAACTCTTATATTTGTCCTGGAATTGTCTTCAAAAAGTGGAGTACAAAGGTCTTGTGGCCTTTAAATAAGTGCAAGGTAGTTACCACCTGTATGTTTCATTAAAATGACACAGTTAAAATTTACAAAGGGCAAAAAACACTACATTCACAATAAATATTGAATTCTAATACACAGCTTCCAGAAGAAATGGCGAAGAAGACACTGGAAAATAGCCTATGTTTTTGAAGATATCTAAGTTGGTGTTAATATCAAAGGAACTACTATTTCAAATTTGCACTGACCACAAAATTCAAGTTTTAATTAATGAGAGCATGAAAGTGCCATTATAGGAGTGCAATCAATAATTTTTTTTCTTTTAGAACTCTGATTTTAGTTTTTTGCAAATACGTCCAGATGTTTAGGAGAAATATGAAAAAAAATCCACCCATTTGTCTGTCACACATTATGGTCATTAACCTTTTCTGAGGCATCACCTCATTTGTAGGCAGACTTGGCTTTCAAGATCTTTTGCACTGCAGGCATATTGAAAAGCAGACACAAGGAGTATTGGATATCTCCAGTGAGCACTCATATTGTTTCCTGAGATTCTGAACTTTTAAGTGTCTACATTCATTATTCATATTCAGGCAGTTCTGCAAATCTCCATAAAAGAAAATGTATTTTAATTTAATGGAACTATAGTGACTGGCCAAGGTAGGTAATACTAGTTAACAAATTTAGATGGCATTGTCCTTGAATCTTACATTCAGTTCAAAAATATGTATCATAATAGATATGGGTAACTGCTATATACAATATTGGTTATCTGTTTGTTTCTGCATGAATTTTACCTACCAAACTCTCACCGTGTTCTGGTGTTTTAATCTTCCTGTGTGTAATGAACATCCAACAATCAACTAGTGCATCATGTTTACTTTAACAGACCGTTATCATGCTAGCTAAGGAATTTTTCAAGTGAAAGCATTTCATTGTTAATAACTGAAAACAGGAGTAGTATTTATCAGAAGCGTCTGAGAAGTGCAGTCCTTTTCCCTATAAATCCATCATTTGGGAGGATGTAGAAATGTAAAGGGTTACCTGGTGCTTTCTCTGGCCTTCATGTCTTTTTCCACTTCACAGGTCCTTTCCTACCACCAAAAAAACCCAGACATCATGAAGAAATAAATTAGTGATTTGTGTTAGTTTTGAGTTTTGTGTAAGCAAAGGAAATTAGCTTTGTTGCACTCATGTAGTGACATTTGATGGACCTGATGTACCTGAGGTCAAATCATTTAATGTAAGTACAGATCAGACTCAAAGGAATAGCAGAAAGACACTCTGAGCATTCTTCTGTCCCACTGTAGTCAGTTTAGATCCCCTTGGTATTTCTGACAGTTGATGACTTAGATCAAAGGTCAAAAACATTGCATCATTAGCTGTATTTGTTGGATTTGCAGCAAGAGGAGTATATGAGAACATTACAAAGTGCCATTCTCAAAGGAAAAAAGTGCAAAGGGTGTAAATCAAAGCTTACATGTACAGAGGTACTCTGGCACCCCCTGCACTTAGGCATACTTCTTCTGTCCTCCTCCCCCTCTCATTTCCTCTTTCCTCATTTTGCTGCCATTTGCTTCCTTTGACTTTCCTCATATTATATCCCACTCATCTGCACCCATCTTCTTTCAGCCTCTTCCCATAGGATGTAGCTGACCTATTAAAAATCAGCTTGAGCTGCCCAGTGTTATTGTTACATTAACATACAATGCATTTATAGAAAACCAGATCATCATATTTACTCCTGAATAATTCATTTGTGAAGTCAGAAACAACCTCTACTTTGAGAGCCTCTTGAGAAATGCACTTGATTTTAAGTAGGAAAACATTAAATAAGAGAGAAAGTACCTTAAGTTTTTACTTTCCACAAAATATAGATATAGATATAGATATATAGAGTGATCATGATATACTATTACATACTTGTGAACCTGTCCTTCCTTTTCCCTTTCCACACAACTGTCATTTTGCCATGACTTGTGCCTGCCTTATGAAAGCCAGCTTGCAAACTGTCTGGAATCAGTGGGCTTGCAAAGTGTTCAGCCCACTTCTGACAGGTCAGTAACATCTGAGAGCAGTGGGAGTTGCTGGACGTTTGGCACGTTGCATTCAGGCAGGCGTGCAGCCATGCTGTGGATTTAACAGTCTAAGACAAGGAAGGCTTCTCTCAAAATCTTGGTCTCAGCATAAAGCTTCTAAGAAGGTAAGAGTTCAGCTACTCTAACAATGCGTGTGGTATTCCTTAACGGGACATGAACTTTACAGTATAGTTGAAACCTCATTGCTCTTTAAAAATATAAATATTTGTATGACATTAATTTTGTGTTTGTTTTTATCTTATTACAGAAATAATGACCTTGGTACAGACCATTTCCTGAAGATTAAGATTAATGACTGCCTGTGCATCAGGCTATCATCAACTCCCAGCCAGTCATTAATCCCCAGAAAATCTTGTGCCATATTTACTTCTGCTTAAGTACTGGTCTGGCAATCCTTTCTTTATTCACCAACTAGTGAGCTGGACTGTTCGTAACAGCAGTACCCATATGAATAAGGATGGCGTCATCAGACCTGCTGTGTTGGTCAGGCACCAATCCAAAATCCAAGCAACTCAAACATAAATCATGGCAATCATTGATCATTTGTGGCTTTTTTCTGCTGAGTCCTGTACTTCAGATACCTTTGTTCCTGTTTTGAAACAGATTATTTCTGGGTTATGAAAGTGCAGGATTTACAAAGATCTCTTTGTATTTTTTAATAGAATAGAGCTGTTGTTTTGCAGTGGGAGAAGGGGAAGGAAAAACATATTCTGTATGAAAGTGTCTGCCATGAATCATAAGCCTACCTTCTTGCTACAAGCTGTAGGTTACTTTAAAGAGTGATTCCTTCAGCATTTGTGAAGGGAGGTTGAAAAGGAAAGATACTGGTGGTGAAGTGAGCATTCAGAGCACCAGCACTGAGGCTACCTTGCTTTTCTAGCACAGCTTTATCAGGGCACAGGAAGGATGAGATCTTTTCCTTGTCATGCCACCCCTTTTCTGTCTGCTGATAAGGTGCCACAGGTCAACAAAACATCTTCCGCAAGGGAGGATTTAGCTAGATGCTGACTCCCTTGCTTCCTTGTGACAAGGATATAACTCATATGCAAATACAATCCTCTGCATGAAAATGAGTGTGATATAAATCTCTGTCATGGCTCAGTCCCATCAGAAGTAGGTATCTTTGGCACTCCTTTCCTGTTCCCATCTCTAGTCCTACTTCCAAAGAGTGGAAAACTACAGGATGTAC